GCTGAAAGACGAGCATGTTTGTTGATAGGGATTCGAATCCGCGACCCGCAGGTAATAGGAGTCGAGCACCCTAACCATCAGGCCTTAGGAAGAATGCACAAAATTTAAAGAACAAGAAGAATGCAATAGAAAATTAAAAGAATATCAAGAAGAAATTTAAAGAAAATTAAAAGAGGACCAAAGAAAAAGACTTAATTCAGCTTGTGATATAGTGAAAGGTGGATATGCTGTAAATGCTAATAAAATTAGATTCCACTGAGGTGGCATGCAGTGGCGTATTTTTCGTGTTACCGCGTTTACCGGCAGTAAACCAGCCTTGGGAGTGGGAAAAAATAGTGTTTTAGTCAATATAAAAATATTTGAATCTCATCCATTACTAACACAAATATATAATTACCGCAGATTTGAAAAAGCAGTGACTCAAGATGTTATTTACACGAGATATAGCCGTCGTTGACCACAGTGACTGTGCGGGTCTGATTATATGGGTCGTTAATAGTGATTGGTGCGGCGAAGATAGATCAGCCTATCAGCGTGCGTTAAACACCTTGGAAATATATCGCTCATAATTGCAGGGCAAAGTAGGGTAGTAAATGCCAGATGACACTACTTTAGTATTATTTATTATGCTAAATGCTAATTTATTTTTAGTTACGAATTTTTCATGATGATTTTGGATAGTTTTATATGTTTTGATTATTGTTATACAAGTATATATATACATATATACAATATATATAAGTGTGATAAATCAAAGCCACCGGCCAAGATACGCCACTGATTTATATATTTTAATATATTTATTTATGTGTAATTACACTTTCATACCTAAAGTATATATTGTTCACAAATATAATATTTTAAGCATATAAATTAGAACCTATATGTTTACCACATAGGGTTCTAAATTCTATAATATAAATTATAGGCACGCGCCATCTAGTATACTAAATTGTTCTAATAGAGTTATTTCGGCAAGTAGCTTGGCTTATTACTTATAAGATCTAGTTAATTCTGTCATTGTGAAGTTTTAAATATAATTATAAGTAATTTTCGTTCTTGTTTGTCCTAATTTAAGACAGTAGTAACATATAAAGTATTTTTGTGTAAGTACATTATTGAACATAGTTTACAGTATTGAGATGATTTTATAAATTATACTACTACTAAATGCCTTGGATCAGTTTAATACTACTATTACTAACTAACTAGTAATAGTATTAATACTACTACTAGTACTACTACCACTAGCATAAGGATGGTAAATCATGAGTTATGAACTTGACATTGTGTGAAGTCCGAAATATGGAAAGGAGATTACAAACCAGCATATCCACTTGATTTTGTGGGGAAAATAAATATTTGATTATTTCTTCCTTATTGAAATAACATAATGCAAAATGTGCTTTTAAATCTTTTTTTTTTGAACTATGAAAACTGGTTTAAATGGGTTTTTCTATAAGTATTGCTTTTTAACTTTATGATAAAAAATGAATCTGACTTCAAAAAGAAAAACTCAAATCCATATGATTTTAATATTTATAAACTTTTCCCTTAAAGTTAAATTCTTAAAATTTCTGTATCCATCCCATTCAATAAAGCAAACTGTACCAAAGGCTAACTGCCATGTTAGAAAAACAAAACTGTCTTAGTTGAAGATGACTCCTACTCTAACAAAATTTATATTTTTATCCTCTGGTCCTTCCATTCTCATCATTGAATAAGAAAAAGGATGGTACACCAACACTATTAATTCATTTAATAAGCCTAAGTACCTTCATCAGATCGTCTTTATCTTTTTTTCAAAAGAAACTGAGATTTTAACCTGCCCTTATACGAGTCCTAGAGAATTTGATTAAAGAACCTTTACCAGATCATTAAGTGAAATACAATATAACATTTTAGGGATAACAAGGACCCCCTTGGACCATTGTTACTGTTCCAGAGGCTGTATGTTGCTTGAGATTAGTGTCCATCAACAGTCTAAAGAAATAAGTATGAGAGGGTTGTGGGCTAAGATCCAGAAGATGAGTCTCAAAAAAAGACATTCTCTCCTTAAAATTGGACTGCTTACCTGTGTATCAGTCAAAACAAAACAGAACTATTTTCTCTTAAACAAACTTCTCTAAATGAGATGTGAGTTATGCACCTAGACTTTGTTTTCAGTCTTCTAACTGAACACCGTAGTGATAGTGGGTCAAAGACTGAAGTTAAGCCATTCAGTCATGATGAGGCAGATGTTTTTTCATGCTGCCCACGCCACCAGATAAGGCCACAGCAAGCTGCTCATAAAGACTGTGGATACAGATCTTGTCTTCCTGGCTGTGGCCCAAATGCAGCACCTGTAAGTGCATCTGAACTGTGGAGAGTTTTTCATGTTGGCACTCCATTGCCTCAAGCATGGAATCTGTAAAGGCAGGTGGTTTGCACTTTTTTTCAAGCTTTGATAGGATATTACACCACATCAGTCTTCATAAAAAAAAAGAGGAAAAATGACAGCATGGGACTCTTGAACAGTTTTGGTGTGGCTACACCTGCATTATGTTTCCTCTTCTAGTGTCGTAAAGAAATCACCATGGGTATTCTCGACAAACTTGAATGCTTTATCATTCTGTTGTACTGCAAGACAATGTCTGCTAGCCAAATCAGTGAGGCACGGCAGATGTTGTTTGCCAAATGTACAAGAGCACTGAAGAATATTATCCAACCCAAGTATGATGCCTTTTATTTAAATGTTTTCTCATATTTTTAAACTCTATTTTCTTGCTGAAGGTTCCACTCCCAAGAAACAGGAACTTTTTATGGTTCCTATTCTATAATGTAATAATAACCTTGAAACTACATCTCCATTAAATTTTGTGCTTTTGTCATGACTGAATAATTCTTAACAATCCCACTATTTAAGGTAGTGCTGGGTGATCAGTGGAATTTGCTAAAAGATTAATTGTTGGGCTCATGAATTGATCATGTTCAATTAATCATTTTTTCCTACCAGATGGCTAAAAAAAAATAAACTTGTAACGTTGAAAAACGGGTTTTGATACTTTTTGTGAACAGAACACGGCATTGTGTAACATTGTGCTTAGCAGCAAACATAATCAAAATCTTTTGATTACTTGGGAGATTGTAATAATCAAAAATGGTAATAATTATAAACCTTAATTTATTATTTTTGTGAATCATGATGTTAAATAATTAAGCTGAACAAATAAATTGATTGAGAGTAGTAATTAAAAACCATAATGACAATGTTTCAATTACTGCATTGTTGGAATAATTGTAAACACTAATTTTGATTAGTTGTTTTCTTGACATTAAAATCAATTTAATCATTATTTCAGATATTGTATACTTGGAATAACTGAAAACAGTAATAATTGGAAACACTACTTGATTATTTTCACAACATTATGAATTAATTTATGTGACGCTAAACAGATGTAATCAGTGCTCGTAGATAATTGATCATTCAATTTTATCACCTATCCCTAATATAGAGTATTTTTACAGGTAACATAAAATTTATGGTTAAAAATGTACCTGTTGTTTTTCAGAATTTTTAGTGGTAGGATTTAGACATATTGTCAAGAAAGTTAAAAACACATTACCTTTACTCTGCAGATAATAATTTCAACCAATGCTTAACCATTGTGGTTTCATTAGGGCTAGTAGTACAATACCTGTTTGATCTTGGACTACTAACTCTTATGCAACCATAATGGCAAAATATTGGCTAAAATAAACCTTTATTATTGTTACATTTCTGTTTAACAAATTTGATCTCTTTAGTTGTCTTTCCTGATTGGGAATGCATGGTTTATCTGTATTCCTCTAGTTTTGACCACTGAAAGTGAACATATTGCATGGATTAAATAAAAGAACAATTCTTGAGGAAATACAACTTTACATGAAGGAATGTAATCTTCCCGATAACTATCCCTGTATTATCTGGAGATTAAAGTTTTTTTTTTCTAATTCTATTTCCAAAATGGTTTATATAGGCTATCCTATCCACCAAGCTGTAAAATAAAAATGAAAAGACTCAAAGACATCCCTTGTCATTCCAATATTTGTCAAGCTTTCTTTTAAACTCCCTTAAATTCAGTGCATCCAATACATCTGAAGGCAACCCATTCCAAAGGCTAGGGAAATATAATTGTCTTAACAATGAAAAGTCACTTCTCTTTCCAGATGCCAGCAGGGAAAATACGGAGACATTTCCATATTAAAACACATTCCCATTATGAAAACATTTGATAAAGGAAATGTTGTTTATTCAGGGATTAAATTATTTTCATTATGTGAGTATGTATAGATATATACATGCAAGTTGAAACCTTAGATAATGATTATATTTTATTTAAAAACTTTTTCTTCAGAATCTAAGCAACAAAAGATGTTCATTATTTTTTTGTAATATGAAACAATAATGTAGTCTGTCTTCATTCAAAATAATTCTAAATCATTTGCTAATTTCACTATCTTTTTCTTTCTTTTTTTATTTGTATTTATATTACATTTTGAATGCTGGTCAAGATTTGTAGTCTTAGCAGACTTTTTGTGCCCATGTGCACATGTAGTGCTTTTTCCTGTGTCTTAACAAAAGGCATAGTCAGAACTTTGAAGGCAAAGTTTAAAGGCATTTTGCCCAGTTGCATGATATCTGCTTAGTTGAAGATGAGTCTTTATCAGCCAAAATTACCATTCTCTCCATTAAGTGCAAAAAAAGAAAAGATGATGTATCAGCACTCAGTTCCCTTAAGTCTTAAACTCTTCTTTTTCAAGATAGGACAATTTCAGAGATCTTACTTGTCTTATATAGCAACTTTTCTATCACAGATATCATTCTAGTAGTCCTCTTCTGAACCTTTTCCAACAATTCAATGTCCTTTCTAAGGCAAGGAACCCAAGACTGAACACAATACTCCAAATGTAGTCTAGCCAGTAACTTATACTATGAAATTATAATTTCTAGTCTTGTATTCAGTATTTCTATAAGTAAAACCTAAAATCCTTCTTCATACATATCTAAGTAACTTATTGGTCATTTCTTCATACGTGTCATTGATCTAACTAAATAAAAAAGAGGTCTGACACTGAGGTACCCCCACTTATGATATTAGTCCAGTTTGACTCAACTTCATTTGAAATAAACCTTTGCTTTCTTCAATCCAACCATTTTTCTATCCAATGAACCAATGTATTACTCATATCTATAGAGATCATCTATACCTGTGCTTACATCTACATAAGCAGTAACCTCTTTAAAAAAAAATGTTGACAATCCAACAAAATTTTAAACTTTGTTGAATGATTTTGCAAAGTATCTTTTTTTCAGACTTTCTGAAACTTTTTCTTACCACTGATGTAAGTATAATAGACCTGGAATTACTAGGAGAATTTTTATCATTTCTCTTGAAAAGAAGAGTAATATTAGTTAACTTTCAAACTTCTGGCACATGTCCACTATTTAAGGACTTACAAAAAACAGTAGCAAGTGGCCTATATATACAAGCCTTATCTTCCTTCAAAAATCCTTGGGGAAATATCTGGCTCAGGAGCTTTATCATTCTTTAAAGTTCCCAGTTCTTCCTTAAGCTCACAGTTAATGTGATCATCTTATTTCCATATAGCAACTCTTCAGGATGAAAAAATTGCTTAAATCTTTATTAGTAAAAATTGAAGGAAAAGGTAGAATTCAATAATCCAGCCATCTCATAATCACCTGATGTGAGCTTTCCTTTTTTTCAACCCTCAAATGCTTTTGGTTTTTTTTACCATTAATGTATTTAAAGAAATCCCTACATTTTTAGTTAACTTTTTTTACACATACCTTTCTCAATTTCCTGTTTGACCAACTTACTTGATTTTCTATAATACTTGTCATGTTGATTACAAGACAAAAAGAGAATCCAAGGGCATGCAGCAAGTTTATAAAATGTTTTGGAATAAAAGGATGAATTCCATCCATGGATATTAGAACATATAAATTTACAGTAGCAAATATACAAAGCTAAATAAAAATATGAATAGCAAAAATTAATTTTAAATAATATTAAGATTATGTGTTGTTTAGAGAGGGAAGTAATTTGGTGATTAGTGAGGTTTCTCCTTGCAAAAGGGAATCAATGATCTCTAAAAATAAAAGGTGGGTTTAATTTTTACTTTATTTCTTGGAGGTAAGTTTGTAAAAATAGCCTTGAAAGACCAAGTGATCCCTTGACTATATGTTAAGTAAGTTCTAAATCTCTACATTTTAGTATTGAAGCTTATTCTCTGTGTTTCAGCTTAGACATTGAGGCTGTTAAAGTGTTTTTGAATAAAAGAAATCTCATTAGAATGATACTTTTTTTTCCCCAGTATCTTAGAATTATAAGCAAATTTAGAAACATTACTATCTAAGAACAGAGTTTTTGGAGAACCACACTATTGAACATTCTTCTATATAGAAAAATTATCATTTTTTCATTTTTTTGCAGATCTGAGCTTTAAACCACAAACTCAATTTTCAGTCCTTGTTTTATTTGTTCACCAGCATTAAACATAAGAGCTTGGTGATTAAATCAATGAATTGTATAATTGACTACCTGAGAGTACCAATTACATCGATTAGTGTCATGTAAATTATTCATATTTAAAACTAAATTGACTAATGTCATGGAAGTAATCAACTAAATTGAAGTTAGGGTTTCTGATTGTTATTAGTTTTGATTATTTCAAGTAATTGAAAAATTGCCATTATGTCTATTTTTAAACACCAATTAACATAATATAGTATCTGTGCTCTGCTTGCTGCAGGTATCAAAACATGATTTGTGTTCTAAGTTTTTGTTTATTTATATGATAACCACAGCATAACCATCTTTTTTTGTTGCTTAGATGACGTGGCAATCAAATAGATGAATAGAGCTCATCAATTAACAAATTTTGCTTTATTCTACACATCAATTAATGTATTATGCAACACTTATTCCAAGGAGTTCTTTAAATCAAGATAAATAATACTGATAGGGGTGATACATTTATAAACGATGGAGGCCCAAGTTGGTAAGGCATAAAAACAGTTTCTCTGAAAACCATTAAAAGAAGCACTGATTAAATGCAAACTTTATAAATGCTTTTATTAAGTATTTCTGACAACATATTCCAACAGCTTACTAACACCAGAGTACTGTATTGTGGTATAGTTCTCATATGATACAAAACTAGATTAGAAGTTTTGACTGTACGATTTAAATCTGTTTACTGAAGGAAGTAGCATTTTAATAAAAAGGACTAATCCAAATTAACTAAAACATTTTTTTATAATCTAGAGTATTCTTGCTTAGCTATTTTTTACTATAAAATTCAGTGAATACATTTTTTACTGGATATATGATTAAATACTGTTTATTCAACTTTGTGATTTATACTTCCCAAAATATTTTCATGTATATTGAATAGTTAAGAACACCTAATAATAGTTCTGTTAGGTTAACTACATTATTAGTTGGTAGAGTTGTAAAATTTGTGCATTAATCATCATGTGTTGCTTGACAAATATTAGAATAATTATTAAACTATGTCTAAATCAAAAGAAAGTTAGATAGTTTGTCTTGCTTTTCAGATTTAGTAAATTAATAGATAGCACCAATAAGGATGATTAATTGTTTAGAGGAATTGTTTTATGCTTGGTAAAATGTATGCTACATGATATAGTGAAGTGAAACTGTATATTGATATATATTTGATCTTTCACTAAAGACTAGAAATGACAGCAGAAGCCCAGAAAGTGTCAGCAGAGTGGAAGAAACGAGTAAAGTCTGAATATATGAGAATAAGACAACTAAAAAGATTTAAACGTCATGATGAGGTGAAAGTAAGTGTGTTAATTTTTCATATTTTTGTGTTGGGAGTTCAAGGATTATATTGTTATTGTTTTTCCCATGAAATGACTACTTTTTGTTTCCATATATTTTCCTTTTGGTGCTAAAATAGAAGAAAAATATATCAATCTTGTATGTTAATTTTAATTTGTGTATTTTGATTAAGGTTTCTTAGAAAATTGTAGTGTTTGCATGCAATTTTTCAGATCTCTTATTTCAAGCTTCATTATAAAAATTCTAAATTACCTGTAGAATTAATTCAAATTTACATGTACTAATGACAAAATGTTTGAACTGTGGTTATTCTGACAGCTTATAACTTATTTGTAAACATAACTTTAAAAGTTTTCAGTACGAAAAACAGCAGAAATGAACAAGTAGAATTTATTTAAGGTTATATTCCTGTTTTGATTTGTTTTTAATGGTATTGAAGGTTTTATAGGAATTACTTATGAAGAATAATTGTGATTTTAAAATACACTAACTTAAAACAGTTTGGATTTTCTTGAATTGTTCTGCCCTTAAAATGCAGAAAATATGCCACAAGCCTTGAGGCTCCCACCTAACATCACGTGTTTACAAGTAATACAGCTGTGTTGTAGTATGGAAATGAGTATGCAACAAACCTCACCAATAGGAATGCAACACACCCTTCTAGCACAGCTTACTCCCTCTATACTATAGAGTATAGAGCACAATCATCACTTCTTGATTTGGCATTCTTGAGTGCAGTCATACAAACTTTTAACTCAGTTCATTGCATTTTAGTTTTAACTTCAACTTTTTGACAACTTCAAGTTTGTTGTAATTTTCTTGTATTAAGTTTTTTTCTTCCATATTATGAACTCCTAGTTTAATGTAACAATTAATGCTTCTGGTATGGAAACTTCTACAACTGATCTTCCCAGACTTAACATTACTGTGGCTTCAGGCTGAGAAGGTTTTGACCTTGGTGCATTGGAAATTGGTCTTACTTGCAACCTGTGGTGCCTCCTGAACTGCAGTCAAATCTCTTGTTTCCTGAGGATGAAGAATTGAACAGCCTTTTTCACCTCCTGCTTTTGCAGCTTTCTCTGAGTCTACTCCTTTGGATCTCCCTTGTCCTTCCTTTCTTTATCTTTTGTCTCTTTCTCCTGTTTCCTATGATTCCTCCCCCTCCCTTCTTCATTTCTGCCTAATGTCAGATTATTTAGTTTTCCCTCCATTTCCAGATATTTATGTTCACGCTGACCAATTCCTTTCCTAACTGTGTGCTGGTGCCAGCATGCCTCGATCCACACGTTTGGTAGACATGCATGTTTTGGCTTACCACAGGACTGAGCTTCCTTTTCTTGGTTTTCAGACCTTGGAATCACTGATTCAGGCATGCTATTCTTCATTTTTCCCTGGCCCAGTTCTCTCATCTTCGTTTTACCCTAACAACTCTCTTACATTACCTTTCGTCTGTTACTTTCCTTTCTGAAGCTATCCACCATTCCCCTGAAGGTCTTTTGGTAGATACACATTCACTCCTTTTCTCCATGATAGTGCATTTATCTTCTTCAGCTTTGTCCCTCCATATGTGATAACTTTGTTGCTGGGACCTCCTTGGCAGGGATGCCCTTTTGTCACATGTGCATTTGCCTGTTTCTTATCTGCCTGACCTTTGTCTGGCTCCTTTTCTCATCAGTCTATTTTTGGAGATGTCCCTGATACTTTGGAACTCATGTGGGTGGTGTGTCAACATTTCTTTATTTCTTATCTTGTTTCTTGTCTTTCTCTATCCTCTTCTGTTTCTTGATATCCAGCTTCCTATCCTCTCTCATTATTGTCTTTTCAGATGTCAGTATTGCCAGTGGATACCCCTTAGGTTCAGGCTCATTGGGGGTACAGTTGGCCCGAGTTCTCATTTGTGGCATCCTATGAGAATGGGTTGTTGGGTTTTCAGGTGTTGGCAGATTCATTTTCCATTCCTTCTCTAGTTCCCATTTCATTCCCTCCTCTTTAAGATCCACTTTCAAGCCAGCTTCTTTTGAGGTAGTTTTGAGTCCCTTACAGAAGGATGCTATCAAACAGATAGAAAATTTCTCCCTTCTCTTGGATTTTATTCCCATCTGTTCATTGTTCGTAAGAAGACAGGGGATTGACATCCAGTTATTGATCTCTCAAACCTCAACCACTTCGTCAACCTTCCTTGTTTCCCCATGGAGTTTTTTCTCAACCTTAGATGGTCATTCACTCTAGGTCTTTGGATGACCAAGGTCAATGTATTGGATGCTTACCTACATATCTCTGTTTCTCTTGCATTTAGACATTACTTTTGATTTGTTCATGGGGGTCAGGTGTTTCAATTCCACACACTATCTTTCGGTCTGGCATCAGCTCCACAGGTCTTCTGTCCCGTAGTCAGAGCCTTTGCTTGTCACATTTATCAGCTGCAGTTTCACCATTACATGGACAATTGGCTTCTTTTGGCTTCTTCCCAGCAAGCTTCTCAGAACCACTCTCATCTCCTTCTTCAGGAGGTGGCTTGTCAAACTGGTGTAAGTCATGTCTCACCCCCCCCCCCCCATTCAATACTTTATTCATTTAGGGGTGTTTTTCAACTCAGGGCCCAGCCTTCTCCTCTGTATTTGAGGGATATGGAGCACTTGGTATCCAAAGCCAGGACTTCTCATTTTCTCCCTGCACAGAAGGTTCTATCTCATTTGGGGACATGGGATCCCTCATCCTTTGGGATCATGCATAAATCCACTGTCTTCAATGAAACCTTGTTCAGGATCCCTTGGACTCCTCCATTTTTCTTCCTTCCATCCAACAAGTCTATTTTGCCTGGTGGCTCGACAGAGACAACACTTCGGATAGCATTGCTCTTCCTCCTCCTTGTCCGGATCTTAATCTCTTTATGGATGCATCTCTTACATGGTAGGGGTGTACACATAAATCTTTTGGAGCTTCTGACTGTTCATCAGGAATTGGATCATGTCCTTCCTGTGGTACAGGAGCATGTTGTCATGATCCATTCCATCAATTTGACCACTGTCTTTTATATCAACCATCAAGGTAGCATCTGGTTTTGTTCTCTTTGTTTTCAAACACTCAGTTTTCTTTTCTGGGCCAACCTCAGTATGGTCGGCTTATTGCTTGTAACATCTTGGGTGCTCCGAATCTTTATTGGCTTTCTTGCCCCAACAAGTTTCTACTGATGGAGTGGTCTCTCGCTCTACAGGTGTTCTAGTGGTTATTCTACCAGCTGGATGCCCCCTTCTGGATGCTTTTACCACCTACCTCAGTACCAATGCCACTCTTTCCAGGTGGAGCAGTTCTGAACTCCTTTGCCATCTTGGGAGTTTGGAAATGTTGGCTTCTTATCAGGCTTGTCAGTGTCTTCAGTTTCAGTTCATGGGTCATCTGATGATCATTCATTTGGAGAAGTCCATAGTTGTATCTCACTTCAGTCATCAGGGTGGCACTCATTCTCAGCACTTGTGCTTTTTGACTCTGAAATTTCCTTTTTGGACTTACGACCGTGGGATTCAATTGTTGTACTATCATGTCCTGAGGACTAGGAACCTGATGGCAGATTGCTTGGACGTGATCCTTCCCATGAAGTGATATCTTTATCCTTTGGCATTTTAGTGGATTTGTTGCCACTTTGGGAGTCTTCTAATTGATGCCTTTGTAATTCCTTTCAATACCAAACTTCAATTATTTTGTTTTCCAGTTTTGTACTGTGCAGCTCTGGCTATCGATGCTCTAAATCAGGATTGATCCAGTCTTTTTCTGTGTGCTTATCCTCCTTTTTGCTATCTTCCCAATGTCCTGTCTCTCATTCACGACAAGTGAATTGCTTCTCTTTAGCTGGCTCGATTGTGGTTTTCCCTCTTGAGCCATTTGGTGTCCAGAAAGCTTATTATCCTTCTCCTTTGGTGGTTCTCCACATTCCATGGAGATCCATCTTTCATGATGGGATGTCAAGCCTGGGATTTGTCTGGTCTCTTGGCTGACAGTTAGTCTTTTCACACAGAGTAATATGTTTCTGTTTTGTTTTTGCCATCCTTTCTCACTGGCCCTCTATCAGTGTGAGTGTTTGAATTATATATACATGTATATATGAAGAGATTAGATGCAAGTGCTGTGTATCCAATTGTGCCATTTTGAACAAAAACAACTTACTTTTCTGCATTTCCCACAAAAAAATACTATGAAATAAAGGGTGAACTATTTATCAAACAAAACTGTGAGCAGGATGCATAAGCATCCTTGAAAGTCCTTGAAATTGAGAATGGAATTCCAAGGGTTTGAAAGTGCTTGAAAATATTATAATAGCAGAATATGTCAATATATCTAACTTTAGTGGATGTTGTGGAGTTGAGTGCAATAAGTAGTCTTTCTGTTTAGTGTATATTCATATGTTGAACAAATAAATAGGAATTTTATAAAATTTTAGTGGAATCCAATTTATTTCGATGTAGATTTTAGATTACAAAAAGTTCTTGAAAAACATTTTGAGAGTGCTTAGAAAGTACTTGAAATTGATCTGAGGAATTCAGTATGAACCATGTATAAGAAATTATTATAATAAAATCTAAAATAAATCTGACTGTATTTCAATTTTACAAGATTAATTGTAGGACAAAGTACTTTATATCTGTATGACTTATTCAAAATGCTGCATATCCATCAATACAGTGTTATTAGCAGCTTGGTTTTGTTGGGAATGGTGTATACTACATTTTGCATCTAAGGTCTTCAGTTATAATTGTTCACATATTTTACATCACAACTTGTAGAATACTCCACATACAAGCTGATAAGGAAATCATGGTTTACATTTCTGCTGCTACAAACCAAAATATTTAATACATATGTATATAACATTTTAAAGTTTCATGTAATTTTTAGTATGTTATATATTCTTCCTAGTGAAAGTATATATATATATATATAGTTTTCACTTGAGGTTTAGAGGTATGCATTTTTAAATGTTTGTGTGTATGTGCTAGGCTTTCATAATTCAGAATTTTCAGGAATTTGTTTGTTTTTCTTTTCAGAAATTTTCTCTGGATTTTTTTCTACCAATAAAATAAAAGGTACAAGAAAGAATACTTTTTTTTCCATGGGACAAAGTATTATGGTAACCATTGTTGCCCCTAGCAATATGAATTCCATGCCTGTTTGTACACTATCCATGGCTAGTTGTGGCTATGGCAGTTATTCCTTAGTACATATACTAATTTATATAGAACTTTACCACTTATTAATATAGTTCATAATATAGTCACATGTGGTAAATTTGTTAATTACATGCAATGTTTTAAAGCACTGTTTTTTGTTATGGTAATCAGGCTGCCTACGTGTCCAACAGACAATTCATCAATGAAACCACAGCACTAGTGAAGAAATGGCACCTAGAGAAAAAAGCAGAGGCTGTCTTTCCAACAGAAGTTCCAGCTCACTTTCCTCTCATGAAGAAGGTATAAAAAAACATTTGAAAATTACATACTGAACCATCTGTAAAACAGATTTTCCTTTTTTTTTTTTTACAACATATCATCTAAAGGCAAATGAAGTAGATTAGATAAAGTTTGTTCAATGTTGAAATGGAGTTTTTCGTAGTTGGTTTGAGAACTTTAATGGACTGCAACTGCCGTTTGAAAGAAAAGGAGATGAAGTTTCAGCTGCTATACTGAGACCTTCATGTTTTTCTTGTCTCAGAGGTGTGCTACAGCTCTCAGATGCAAGAGTGTAAAATAGCTTATCTTAAAAATATAAACTGAAAAGTAAATGTATACCTAATTTTAACATAATTATCTTTGGTAATTCCTAAGACTGCCTTTTATGTTTTACTATAGTTAACCAAGGTTTGTTCACATACTTTGCTGTTTGATGTACGCAAAAATTGTTAACAAATGGATCATTTTATTCATAATGGGAATTTGTTTGTTGTCAGTATATGATAAAATCCTTACATTGTGATGAAATGAAAGCTAAATAGTATTTTTTTAAATAAGGAAACCCTTTTAGATATTTCTTTCAGTATTTTTTACTGGACATTTTATTACAAAAAGTTTTAAGTAAATTAAACAATTATGCATGTGTTAAGTGTGCACAAAAACTAGTATTAACATCCTATGTTAGTCTAGTTTAGAATTATTAATCATGTTTCTCCAATACATTCTTTACTATTTGTAATGCAAATTAATAATGTATATTATTGTTGATAAAAAGGACTTTTTATTTGTTATTTATAAGTTTACATTACATATGCAGTTTTAAAGAAAATATAGTTTTACAGGTAACAATAATAATTTTATTATTTAATTGATTGACCTTGTATTCCCTTATCCATCAAAATTATTCTTAGCTAAGAATGAAGAAAAATTATTTCATATATTTTAACATTTTGCAGCTAGTCATATTAAGCTTAAGGTGTTGTAGTAGAAAATACATTGACATTACATGATAAGAAAGCTAGAAAAATTTATTTGAAATGTCAGATGTCTTCAATATAATCCTTTGTTTGTGTATTAATGATATAATGTGTTCCCGTTTAAGCGCTATTAAATTTTAAGGACCTGTTTTGAAAGGCTTAGCTTGACCTTACCGTAATTCCTTCCTTAACTTTCTATCAAAAGAACAGTGTATAGAACTTTAATAATATTTACATACTAGACACCAGTAAAAGAAAACATTAAAGTAAAGTGAGTTTTTGCTAACTATAAAGAAAAGAATACTAGTAAGTTTAGTGCTGCACATTTTTTAACGAGAAATTCCAATTTAGTTTAAGGGTTGAAATTCTTATGGTGAACATTTTAATATTTCCTTTTATATGTTTTAAATTATCTGTTTTTTACTAATTTCAGGCAGAAATTGAAGTTTCTGATGGTACAACACAGAGCAAGCCTATCAGGATAATGTATAGTGTAAACTCTATCCCTACTATGTACACATGGGCACCAATACAACAGAACTTTATGGTGAGGTATTACACTTTGTTATTGGATGATACTGTGCCATTTACTTCGTGATAATTAACAAGCTTATATTAGCTTATACTAAAGTGCTTGGTGATTAATAAAACTTACTTGTGTGATGAATTTAGCTAATTTGCATTAAACACTCTAGATTTCAAAACTTGCTGTATGTTTGTTTTGAAATCATTCAGACTATTGACCCAAATAAAATAAGGTGGCCTGGCAGAATGTTTAAGATTCTTGCTTGAGAAATGTTTTGTTAAAATTACAGCATGGATCTGTGTTCTTTTTATACTCCAGGTCAAGAGTGATGAGGCTTCTTTGTTTTGATTTCCTGATGTGGTTGACTAAACTTTTTTGATATCACATGTTTAATATTATCATAGGAGTAAGAAGACATTACTCTTATTTTCACTGTAACATATATCCAGATTAGTTTGATTTATTTTTTCAGCTGTAAATCTTGGGCTATTCTTTACTACTCTGTCCATTTAATAATTTTGAATGGGATTTCCTAAAAAATACTTGGTAAGCAGAAGTTACAAAATTGTTCCTACCTAACCAACTGAAATTTAATACTTATTGAAAAAAACACCCTCAGTAATGATAAAGGTTTAGGGCAGAGTTTGTGGATTTACTCAAGAAAGATTAATATTTAGTTTATACAGAGGTTGAATACGTTATATTAAAATGATATTGGAGCCTCATTCTATTTGATGACTGTGCATATTGACAATATTTGTTTTTAAAGTTGTTGGTGTTTAATTTTTTTAATTGTCATTATTATTATTAAAAAAAGATTGTGTTAAACAACACTCAGAGAGAAGAGTTCAACCAGCTTTGCTTAGAGGTGGATAACATAGAGCTAAGATACAGTTTACAGTCTTTGGGCTCTTAAAATGAGATTTTCTGGAAATTATAAAGTATTAAACTCATTGTTAGCTTTCTTTATTTTCATTCCCAATGAAGGAATGTAAAATTTGATGCAGATTTTCTAATGTGTTTTGTACAAGAAGAGATGTTTCTAAAATGCTTGTATAAATCTGTGTGTGAAATTGTTTATTTGTATTTCTCATATTAAATTTTACTCTTGATGTATTTAACAGATTCTTTGTTTAGAAAGCTGTAGCTCTACTTTTTTTTTCTTTCTGTCACATGTTAGGTTGAAGATGAAACAGTACTACATAATATTCCATATATGGGAGATGAAGTTCTGGATCAAGATGGTACTTTCATTGAAGAACTACTTAAGAATTATGATGGCAAAGTTCATGGAGATAGGGAATGTGGATTTATAAATGATGAAATTTTTGTAGAACTGGTTGAGGCATTACAATTCTATCAAGACACAGAAGATACAGAAACTGTTGCTGATAAGAGAGATAAACTTGAGAAGGACAAGTTACTTCTTCCCAACAAAATTTTGCCTCAAAAATCAATTTCAAGAAGCAGTTCTATAGATGCAGAGAATTCAGATCAAAGTAAGTTACATGATTTTGAAAGGTTGCAAATTGCATTAGACATTCTCTTCTGAAGCTAAAATACCAATTTGTTTTTTAAACAGAATAAACTTAAAAAACAACAAAAAGAGAATGAACATTTATTTGGATGTAAAGGATGGATCTATGTTTTGTCACTATTAAATTAAGTACTAATACACTGCTTGATATCAGAAGGGATATAGCAGTATTTTTGTTACTGTCCCTACTTTTGTTTTTCAGAATTAGTAATTTCAAGATACAGGAATGGTGTGTTGTTACCTTGATTTTTATAAGCAAACTTTTATTGTGAAATTATAAATGTGAGACATCTTGTTGTTGTAGTTTGATATTTATGCTTAGTTCAATATTTTAAATTATTCTTAACTGGCAACATGGAAACTGTTTTAATGTATTGGATAACCTTAAAACTTAATGAAAATAAATGTGGTAAAAGAATGGTAATTAAAGAAAAAGAACTTTTAAACATTACCATATTAAATAGGATTCCCACTAACAAGATAAACCTGAAAATAAAATAAAAATTGGAAGGGTCTAATTTATATTGATTTAAATATGAGGGTTTGATTACTTAACAAATTTTCACTGTTTCTGGATTCATTGGATAGAAAAAATAACACACTTAATCAAAGTTAAATGGAATCTTGTACATAGTTTTCATGTCCTGGAAGAAAGCTAGAGCATGGTAGATTAATATATGTATGTTTTTCATATTTCAGATGAAAAAAAATCTATAGCTGAAATTCCAGATATCATATTTGCAGGGATATCAGCTGTTTTTCCAGATAAAGGACCTCCAAATGAACTTCGGGAAAAGTAAGACCTTCTTCCATTGTACTATTTAAATTTATGATATTTCTGGTCCTCAAGTTGGAACTGCATAATAAATGTTCAAGACAAATATTGTATGTAACTGGAGAGTTGAAAATTTGGCCTCTGACATATCTTTACTGTATGCATGTGTTGGTTATGGAGCATATTTATCTAATAGTAACTATAAAAAGGGACATAGATAAGGAACTATTTGCTGTCACATATTCCATGGTTTGTGACGTACAAACATTGATAGCCTTCTCATCTATTCTTCCATGTATGAGTTTAAAAGTGAAGAAAGGTGGTATTGTAAAGTGCAACTGTATACATGTATTTAAAACAATTTTATAATAATAATAATAGTTTACCATTCTCTTTCATCTGATCTCCAGTTGTTCTATTTTCTCTTGGTTTAATGGTGGGTAGGCAGTGCTTAACTCTTCCGACACGGGGTCGGTTAATTTGACTGAGTCACGTGACCTTCTGTACTCGTTTAAAGTTGACATAAATTTAATACTTATAACACTATATATATTGGGTATATCTTCACGAAATTTGGCAGTCTTTCATTTAATATTACAAGTCTTTCACATACAAAAAGTCATATTTCTTAGTGAAGTACATTTAATAAAATAACATAAAGTTTTGTCCATGAATATATTGAGTATTTGTTTTGAATAGTCCGTGTGCAAAGTAATTTTAATGTTAAAATTAAAAATACTTTTTGCTATCTCAAAAATCTCAAATTTCCTTTGTGTAATCCATAAAACCTCCTAAATGCAATTCCAACATTTTTTTCACTAAATACTTATAGTTTATATGTTATTTTCTCTATCCTAATCTCAAAACGGGATCAATCAATTCGAACGACCTCGTAACCACCAAAAAATAATCGAAATAAACCTAAATTACCTTTTTTTCTTTCTGGAATGACTTCAAATTGCAAAATGAAAGTACATTTGTTTATCCTAAGTAGTTCTAAGTTTGTAACATTATACATCTATTTATAATTAAATTTTATTGTTTTACTGCTCTTTGAACCATGTCTAACTGCTATCTGTGCCATTATAAGTTGTAAATCACTTGGGGAAAGTGCAGCTCACGCTACGCTATCGAATTACATTACCCACGAGCTGCTCGTTGCGTGCTTTGTGAACAATTTTAATTATATTATTATCATTACTTATTTTACCTATTCTAGTCTTAAATAACTTAAAAGATCCGTACTTTTAATTTTAGTTACTTTTATAATAATAAATAAAGAATAAATATGAAAAACAAGAAATAAAGTACTTACACAATCTTCTTTTTTCTTGCTCTCAGGTTTTCAAAGAGGGTTAACCCTAATTTTTCATACTATAGATAGTAATACACTTAATAATTTTTATTTAATTAAATAATGCACCAAAGAATATATACTAATAATATGCAAAAAGTAGACAAATTCACTTACTTCTAAATATTTTCCTGGCTTTCTAACTATGCGACAAGAGCTGTTAGAAATTCATTCAAGCTAGTCATTAACTTTCCCACGGGAAAAATGTTGCTACTCAGAGTGACATTGATGGTTATCTGTTCAGAACACAATGTTATACAATATGCCATTTGATAGATGAAAACCTGGACTTTCTATTGGTTAAAAATAATATATAATGAAACGTAAGAGAGAACTATCAACCAATTGTGAAAGACAGGATGTGACAGGTGGGTGTGGCAGGAGGGGTCTGATTTTCCCTTTGATAGCTCTTTAACAAAACAAAATTGAAGGCCATAAAAATTGTGGTCTGTTTAAGCAATAACGATTTTATAGAGAGCATTTTACGTTTAATTTCATACATTTTTGAGGGGTGACGGATAAAATAGGGATGATGAAATGCTAAGACAAACTTTGTTGTGTGTTACACTAGTGGAAATTTGGGATTTTTTTATATATTTCCTTTTAGAATTAAGAACTTAAAACTTATATACTATTAAAATATGGATTATTAGCTAAGATTTTATGCTATTCTAATTGGTATAACATAAACAAAAAGTAGTTTAATAAAATTTTGAATGTAAGATACTAAAACCTTGTGTCATGCGCAGTAAAGGGTACCCGGGCCGATAGGGTTAAAATACATTGTCACTGCCCCTTTGACAAGGTATTGTTGGGGTTTTGTATCTATAAGCTTAGCCCATAAATTCACCTTGAAACAATCAGTGGTGAAATGTTCCTCACACACACCACTTTTTTGAACAAAAAAAGAAAAAATGTCTTCTATTTGGTGACTGTGAACCTTAACAATATTTGTTTTTGAAGTTGTTGGTGTTTATTTTTTTAAATTGTCATTATTATTATTATTTAAAAAAGAATGTGTTAAACAACACTCAGAGAGATGAGTTCATCCAGCCTTGCTTGAAGGTGGATAACATAGAGCTAAGATATAGTTTATAGTCTTCTGTGCTTTTAAAATGAGACTTTCCAGAAACTGTAAAGTATTAAACTCATTGTTAGCTTTCTTTCTTTTCATTTTCAATGAAGGAATGTAAATTTTGATAAATAAGGGACATGATGTGTACTGTTCCTATGGTATGTAACTGTTTCTTTGTTGTTTCCTTACACTTAGCTATATTTCTCAGCATGTCTTTCATTGTGAACTAAAATGACTTCTACAAAGACAAAGTTATAGGTAGAGGCAAGCTGAAACTGTGGGCAGAATAATTCCTTGAAAATAATGGAAGCTACAGATTCCTATAAAATTGTTAATAATTTATGGGTTTGTTTCTTTTAAAAACAGTAGAAAAGGCACATTTTTCAAATGCTAGTTTTTTATTAGTATTTGACATATTTCAGTGCTTTCTTCATGGAAACTAACCACATTATGGGTTCTTCGTTTTAGGTGTTTGTTTCTTGCAGGTGTAACTGCCTTGAAGATTAGATTAGGTAAAATAAATAATAATAATAATTTTGAGAGGTAAGTGAATTTCTCTACTTTTTGCATGTTATTAGTATATATTCTTTGGTGCATTATTTAATTAAATAAAAATTATTAAGTGCATTACTATCTGTAGTATAAAAAATTAGGGTTAACTCTTCAGAAACCTGAGAGCAAGCAAAAAGGAGATTGGTTAAATACTTTATTTCTTGTTTT